ACTCATCAGAACGTACGCTGGGGTGGTAGAGGAGGCAAAATAAGTGGAAGATGAAGCTTTGCACTAAAAGGATTTGAGGTCTAGGTGAGATGAAATATTTTTGCAACACTGCAGATGTGAAAGATAGCATCATAAAGTTAAACCAAGTAGCATCTATATACTTGAAAGGTTAGTTTGAAATCCAAGGCAAATCAGACTCTGTATCAAATGATGATTTCAATATCATATGCTTTGAAACATTATATAGTTTTGAAAATTTATCCTCTTGAGAAGTGAGTCAGATGACATCATTTGATCAATTTAAAGTGATGTCCTTACAGTAGGAAACTTTGGGATTTTGGTGAAGATGTTTAAAATGATCATGTTTTCTGGATGTCATCATTTAGGAGTGTACAATATAAACCGTGTACAGTGAAAACTATCCATTCATTATTGTAGAAGTTAACATTAAGATGATGTCATGTGAAATTCAAATCTGGAATTCACCCACTCTTAAACTCCTAAATGGTTTATCTGCAATTGAAGTTATTGCTTTTTTCTTATTCTTCTCCTCTGTAGCACATGCTAGAAAATATGTACTTATTTGACACATGTATGGGTTGTTGTAACTTCAATCATCCATTCACCCAATAAACATTTTTGACCACTTACAATGTACTTCCTCTCCCACTCCTCAAATAACACCTCACTACTATTAGTTGAAAGTTAAGTAAGTCTACTGGAGTATTTTGACTTTTAACAGAGTATCTTTTAAATTGCTATCTTTCTTCCAACTTCATTTTGCTACTTAATTTTTCAGAGTTTCTTGATTTTCTTTAAATTGCAGTCCTTAATAAAATGCAAAATAAAAATTATACATAGGTATAGTTTCCCCAGAATTCCAAATGTCTATAATAATGGGTTTTATAGATTAAAAAAAATAATTGTTTCTTGTTTAGCAATTGATCTATCAAACTTTCAAAATGACTTCAGTATATTAAGAATGATTTTGAGAGTAGGACAGAAAATTTGAAATCAAATTACTTGGTCTTTAATAGACAAATTAGGGCTTCCCTGGCGGCTCAGATGGTAAAGAATCTGCCTACAATGCAGTTAGACCCGGGTTCAATCCCTGGGTCAGGAAGATCCCCTGGAGAAGGAAATGGTAACCCACTCCAGTATTCTTGCCTGGAAAATCCCATGGATGGAGAAGCCTGGTGGGCTATACAATCCATGGGGTTGCAAAAAGTCAGAAATTACTGAGTGACTTCACACTCTTTCTTTCTTTGAACTTGTATAAAATTTCTCTCGAGAGTCTAGTAGAGATTGCATAGACTGTAGTTTTAAGGTACTTTTGGAGATATTTTATTGACTACTTCGATGCATAGTACTTAATTTAAATTCCCCAGTGATCTTTTACCTAGTAGGACACCATCTCCACCTACCTGACCCTAGGGATGATGTAATTATGGAGACTCTTAATTCAGCTGAAATTGTCCAGAAGCTTTTTTCTCTCCTGACTATTATAAGTGCTTATGCACCTTGCTCTCCTCATCTCTGAAGCAACTTAGCGTGCTTCGCATCTCCTTGTAGCTACCACTCATCCTGGTTAGGGCAGTGTCCCACGAGGCACCCCAGAATGCCGTTCATTCATTCATTCGTCTCTGATCTCTGAGCTGTGCGGTTTGTTAGGACATGTTATTGCACACATCTAACGTGAGAGGGAGCTACACGATAATTCCTTACCGTTGGTATTCTAGGTATAATATCTGAGATAGTCCCCAGCTTCCCTGTTGTACCCTCAGGCAGATTAGGGACCATCATTTAAGGGCTAGAAGGGCGAAGATTAAATTCACCTTAGTAGCTTTTCAGGGACAGATGATTTTCACATTGCTTAGCGTTTACCCTCTGAAGTTTGTCTTCCTGTTTAGAATTTTTTCCTTTACCCATTTCTTACTGAAAGAAAAAGAGACACTATTTCTTCATCCCATGGCATATCTAGCATATCTGAGGGAACTTCAGTGGGTTACTTTCACCTTGTATGGACAAGGTGGTGTAGGGAAGGGAGAGAGCATAGGAGCTGAAATAGTTAAGCCCACACGCAGAACGTGCAGTGGACCTCAGAGTGACAGCGGAATTGGCAAGGCCCAGAGTGCCTAGTTAAGAGCATTGGAGGCAGAGGGTTAGGGACATCCAAGGTCTAACACTGAAATAAGTGTAGGCAAGTGGAGGGGCCCCGGAAGAGGCTGCTGAATGCAGAGAGGCCCATGCCGAGAGCTCCCTCAACATTATACGAAGTAGCGTTTGATGGGCAGGTGGGTCAGTCATACTCGTGATAAAGCTTCAGTGAGAAACCAGAGAGTTTAGTGCATTTCTGAAGGTTAGAGCTATCAACAACCCTCAAACAGGGTGGAAAGCCAGCATTGCGGCAAATGGCTACAGATGCCTGCCGCAGCATCTTTAGAATCCTCGCCTTTCTCTCAATGTATGCCGCTCTGTGATTCTTTCCTGCGTAACCTTCCCTTTCTTTCAATAGGTCACCGCTGTCTGTTCTGACTTATTGCTAATTCTTTGCTCTTGCTTTTCTGACCTCTCCAGAGCCTAGAAGAGGAGATAACATCCATTTTGTTTAGTGAAAAGGGCTTTTCTGATAGCACGAAAGCCTCCTTCAGCTCAGCCAGCACTCGGACAGCAGAGGGCACTGTTGTGAACCCTAATGCACCTTCTGAAAAGCTTTCCTCGCCCTTCTCACGGTTGCCTGAGGTGCATTTTGCTTTGTTTCCCTAAAAGTCACATTTAAGAGTGATTTTTATTTTTTGAGTAATAAGGAACCCTTTCCTCCAGTGCTTTCATTGGTGAAATTAACTCTTCCTGAGAGAAACATTCAAGAAATAATGAGTGAATTTGAACACGAGGAAAAGACACTGATTGGATATTTCTCTTGCTTTCTATTCTCCCCTCTCCAGTCTGCCTAAATTGAGAGAATCATTTAAACCAGTCACAAAGGTACAGAGCCTGGGGCGTTACGTGGAGGGAAACCTTCAACTCTGTAGAAGCTAAAGCATTTTTTGCAGAAGTTTTCAAAGCCAAAATGTCTTTTAAACATCTTCAGATGGCTTGTTATTTTAAGAATTCTGCTCATAGGGGAAAACTGAAGCGCCTGCCAGAGTCAATTTAAATTTTTTTAGGGAATGACCCCTAAGGAATTCCCTGAGTTTGGGCAGAATCCATCTGGCCATTTGAAGGTTCAGTAATAAAAGTAGTAATAATGAAGTATCTCCTTTAGAAATGTACTGATCACTGGATATCTTTATTTCTAAAGAAGTTTGTAAGGAGTTACAGTTGAATGTTGCCTAACTAGCAAAGTCAATTTAGAGGTTTTTAGTTTAATGTGTGAAACCTCAGTTTTCAATAACACTGAAAAGATAGCTCTCTTGTTCTGTCAGTGACATGATTTACAAGGTATAATGTTGAGCATTGAAAATGTTCCCTTACCAGACATTTAAGAATAACAGTGCAGGTCAAAGATGGTCTGTGAGTATATGTTGATAGGTGTCCTTTTAGGACCTTTTGCTCATGGTTTTCCATGTTGCTGGAGCAGATAAACATGAGCCTGTATTATTTACTGTAGGAAGCAGCTCCAGTCCAGTTAGTGTCTTGGCAGCTTCACAGTGCGGGTTGTTTCTGCCCAGAGGGTTCAGAGGTACAGTGCTCTTCATTCAGCATCGAGATACCTTCCTAAATAAGTAGGGCTACTGTCTCTAGCTGAATTTGTAAAGTCAGAGCACAAGGCATTAGTGCTACTGGAATGCCAAAAACTTGGCTAGAAATTATTTGTATCAGTATAAGTTAGCCTTTTCAAAATATAAGGAAAATTTTAATCTTTAAAAACAGATTCCTTTTTAAGAAAGTTTCTGCCCTGATTATCAATACTGTAGTATAGTGATATTACTAAGGTATTTGGTCTTCAAGCATTTATTTGAACATTTAGGTGCTATACTTAGCTAGAGTAAATTTACTCCCCCAAAGTAGATATCTGCAAGGGGGCAGCAATGAGCATCTCAAATAATAAACTTGGTTCATTTCAATTTTCAAATGGAGGAGCTAAATTCTAAGCGAAAACACTTGGAGCCATCACTGACATCCACCCTACTATTATAATACCCCTTTTTGCTAATCGATAACACAGTTTCAGATGCTAATAACCATCTCTGAAATGGCAACACTTTTGTGTTAATAACTATCCGAGACCAACTATAATTTTGCCAACTAAAACTGATTTTTAAATAAGCCAGCAAACTATAAAAATATCATCTTATTGATAATTCATTTAGGAATCGTGTTCAGGCCATGCTGCGTTTGGTTTTTTTTTGTTTGTTTTTTTTTTTGTTTTCTCCTTAAGTCTGATTAAAATCAATCTGTCAATAGATTTTAAAAGTCTTAATATGTAAACTTTAAAATAATGAGTAAGCTTTGGTATAATTCCATCCCCCACGCCTTTTCAACAAGAAGGAGCTTATAGATCTAAGTATAATAAAAGCATTTCATTTCTTGGGGAGGATGCTGGCTATTTTTGTGTTTTTGTTTCCTTCCCTAAGCTGCTTGCATTTGTCTGGATTGTCCTTCACGTGACCTTGAGCAAAAGGTTTTTATGGCTGTTGATTCTTGCTGCTCTGCTTTGCAGTGTCAGATGTTTGTTTTGGTGGGTGTCGAGGTAAACCTTCATTGATTTGTGTCCTCGGTTGCTTTTTGTTCCGCAGAAACGCGCTCCAGAGTCCGAAGGGCCTTGCGCCGGAGCCACTGATGCTGTTAAGGTTCTCCCCTTCACCATGTTAACACCATTGCCCGACGTTTCCAATCCTGCTCACGTTTCCCCCTGCTTCCCTTTCAGTCCGCCATCATCATCATCATCTTTGCTTTTCTCCATGACATGAAACCTGCCATCGGTTAATTTGGGTTGCCGTCGTTTTGATTTATTCATCTATTTTTGTTTCCCCTCATCCATTTTTGTTTCTGTGCAGAGTTCACTTGAGACTCTGAATGTAGTGGAGGAGAAGAAGCAGGCAGAGGTTGGGAAAGACGAAAGAGTAATCCCCGAAGAAATGAACGGTAAAGAGCTGTCCCCTGGGCGTGGTCCTGGGGAGATGCGGAAGGTGGAGCCAGGGCTGCAGAAAGACTCCACCTCCCTGTCTTCTGAGAGCAGCGGCGGCAGCGAGAGCGAGGAGGACGTGGGGGAGTACCGGCCCCACCAGCGGGTGCCTGAGGGCAGCATCAGGGAAGAGCAGGAGGAGGACGCGGAAGAGGCGGCGGAGGCCCCCGGCCAAGCCCCCAAGGTAGCGGACAGGGAGCGCGCCGTGCCGAGGAAGAGGCGCGAGTAGGTGACAGCCATCTTGAAGAAGAGAGCGTGGAAAAGCCGGTCGCGCACGTTGATGAGAGGATTGGGGTTGAGGTTGGGGAGCCCGGGCCCGCGCGCGGGGGCCGGCGGAGGCCCGGCGGAGGCCGGGGCCCAGGAGAAGGTAGTGGCCCCCCAGCTCCCTGCCGGGAGGAGTGCAGACCCAGGCGCCGCTGAGCAAGACGCCGGCGAAGAAGCGGAGGCCGAGCCGCAGAAGCTTAATGGAGAGGCGGCTCATGTTGACACTGATGTTTTGCCAGAGATTATTTGTTGTTCAGAGGTAAATCGGAGCTCGACGCTAGAGCCGTTCTTCAGGTGGAGAACACCTGCCTCTCCTCTCCTGTCCTCCCCGTTCTCCTTCAGCTTTTCCGACAAGATGCCGAATTTGATCTCTCCAGGGAGGAAGGGGGATGGCCCTGCTCTGTCGATTTTTCTGCCCTCTGGGGTCACAGTTTCTGGCATCTTTACTGCAACTGAATCTCCTGAAAGAGTAAACTTTCCGACAGCAGCCACTTCATTTTTTTTTTTTTTTTCCCTTTTCAATTTCACACTGAAATTTTTCTTGTCACAGTTTCTGGCATCTTTACTGCAACTGAATCTCCTGAAAGAGTAAACTTTCCGACAGCAGCCACTTCATTTTTTTTTTTTTTTTCCCCTTCTCATTTCACACTGAAATTTTTCTTTGCACGTTTTCAGATTTTTTTTCAAGGCTTATCTTTAAGTTGCACTGCCTCCTCATACTAAATGCCTGAGTTCTGTTCATTAGGAAGTTGTGTGTGTATTGTTCAAAAACGGTCAGTGTGAGTGTTGCTGGTGTCACGACTGGGTTTGACCTTCTGGCTCATTCTTTCTTCAATATAAGATTTTCAGGAATGGCAGCAGGCTCCTATTACCGTGGTGCACAGAATTCACCATCTAGCAATGATGAAAACGTTATTTCTTGAATACCACTGGCATTTCAGGTTTTAGATTCCAGGGATTGTACAGTCTGGTCAAGGGACTTAGGTTTCCTTCTGGGCAGCGAGAAGCTAAGCAAAGGATACCCTTCTCTTTGCATTCTGTCCTCTAGGCAATTCTGGGTTATTTGCAAGTTTGGTTATATGTTTTGTGACTCGTCTCGATCAAGCATGAGCCTTTCCCTTTTTCTCTTCAAGAAACAGAACTTTCCACACTCCCCTGAGATGAAGTCTTGGTCATTTAGGTGCAGAGTCTCTGATTTGGGAGTTAAAGTTATGCTGAGGAAAGATTTACTTCTATGTGAATGTTCCTTGATTCTAAAGTTAAATGCCAAAAGTAGAGGGTTTTCCATATTTGCTCTCGTTCATAGGGTGGAAAATCTTGAACTGACTCTGTCTTGAAATAATTAACTGGATTTATGTTACTTTTAAATTTCTGATTTCACTTCAGCAGATGACATTTTGAGAGTTTTTGAATGCTTTGAACTATTGCTTTCTGCAGAGATTTCCTCTTTAAATTATTACACTTGGGAATTTTCTCTCAAGGAAAGCACTGTAGTGTTTTGGTAGCAGTATAGTCTGTATTAAGCATACCTGCTTGGCAGACTCCAATGTTAACAGCCTGTGACCCTCTGTTTGGATGTTTTAAATAGTTCAGAGCATTAATGCATCAATGGTGGAGTAACTCTATAGATATATCACATTTTAACTTATGTAATACAGAAGAAACACTGTAAGATTTAGGTTAGTATAACTGAAAACAGTGCTGCTTGAAGATATTCTTTCTGAAAATGGGATCTCCGTATCAGCGGGGCATCAAGGACTTTTTGGCTGACTGACCGGGTCTGCCAATTAAAGACCATGAGCCTTCACACAGACCATGTGGTTCTTTAAACTGTAATAAAAATGGAGGCAGGTCACTTCTCATCATTAATTCTGTTTTGTTTTCTTTTCAATTTGATCACTATTTGCTTAAAACTAAAGTTTCTGTATCACTGTACGCCAGACTTGACACGTAAGTAATTTGGGACCGTTGTAATTTGAAACCTACCACAATTTCAGGAGCCATTATGCTAGCTTATTCTTCATATATATATCTATACACATATATATGATTTTGAAGGAAAGTGTTTTTCTTTTGTGTCTTTCTTATTATTTCCTTTTGCTCTTTTCATTTGTGTATGAGTGTGTGTTTGGATATATTTCAGTTATTTTTGAAGGCTCCATTAAACACATTTATTTATTTATTTTATTACCTCTAGAATTTATGTTTCCCTTCCTTTTCACTTCAGCCACCAGTGGTAAAAACAGAGATGGTAACAATTTCTGATGCCTCACAAAGGACAGAAATCTCCACCAAGGAAGTCCCTATTGTCCAAACTGAGACCAAAACCATCACTTATGAGTCTCCACAGGTATAAAAGCTCTAGACTTGGACGGTTTGAGTTCTTTTTTACTTAGCTTGTTTCTGTTTCCATTCTGTCTTCTCCTAGTTTACATTTCTGACTTTGACATAGCTTTTTAATTTTCATTTTGTAACTGTACTTAGCCACATAACATGCCGCAATTGAATTGCTGACCCAGTAATTATGGGGGAAGCGTATATGTGATTTTTTAGGACAGACTGTACCAATGTTGTTCTTATTATTTTTATAAACCATTTCTGGCTTGATATATCCAGGAATGTTTATGTATACTTGGGGAACAGATCATCTTACAAGGCTTATTGAATCTGATGTAATTTGTGGATTCATAGAATTAGGCTTTTATCCCTGCCACCTTCCCACCGCTGACTCCATGAAGACAGAGCCAATCAACTCACTTTTGTTTGTATATTCACATACACATCTGTGCTTCTCACAGTTGATTATTTTCTGAAAACATGTCGCCATTCTTACGTAAACATGATAATACTATGCGTCTAAATAATTATCACATTCGTGTGTTTGATTTTTGGTATTCACACATTGATTCTATAAAGATTTGAAGTAAGAATTAAGATATTTAACCTTAAGAGTAACAAAATAGGGGAAATAGTCATCATTTGGAAATGGAACCGTTTAGAAACCTAGACAACTCTTTTCTCAACTGAGAAACTTAGTGTTCTAGAAGGTACCATGGTGGAGGATTGCAGATTATATTGTCCTCTCAAAATATGTTTTTCAAGCTATAATGCATTTATGTGTAAAACAGTCTTTAAATTTTTTTTTTAAGATATGCTCTCTGTAAATGTGCATAGATCCCCCATAAGCACAACTAGGTTTCTTATGAATGGGTGTGGCGGGAGAGCGTGTATTCATGTGTTTCTATTGTGGTAAATAATTTGTGGATTCATAGAATTAGGCTTTTATCCCTGCCACCTTCCCACCGCTGACTCCATGAAGACAGAGCCAATCAACTCACTTTTGTTTGTATATTCACATACACATCTGTGCTTCTCACAGTTGATTATTTTCTGAAAACATGTCGCCATTCTTACGTAAACATGATAATACTATGCGTCTAAATAATTATCACATTCGTGTGTTTGATTTTTGGTATTCACACATTGATTCTATAAAGATTTGAAGTAAGAATTAAGATATTTAACCTTAAGAGTAACAAAATAGGGGAAATAGTCATCATTTGGAAATGGAACCGTTTAGAAACCTAGACAACTCTTTTCTCAACTGAGAAACTTAGTGTTCTAGAAGGTACCATGGTGGAGGATTGCAGATTATATTGTCCTCTCAAAATATGTTTTTCAAGCTATAATGCATTTATGTGTAAAACAGTCTTTAAATTTTTTTTTTAAGATATGCTCTCTGTAAATGTGCATAGATCCCCCATAAGCACAACTAGGTTTCTTATGAATGGGTGTGGCGGGAGAGTGTGTATTCATGTGTTTCTATTGTGGTAAGTGCCCTTGTAAAGAAATACAGGAGCATGACCTGAGTTCGAAAGATTTCCTCCTAACTTATAGTAAGAAAGACTCTGAACCTTCCAGTTATTTCCTGTGTCAGTGTCAGGAAACTGGAGACAAATATGTTTGGTGGTCTTAGCATAAACTTTTAGGCCATTAATGTTTTATTTCCCCTGGTAAACTCTAGAACTTTCTAGTATCAAAGAAATTAAACCATAGATAGACTTATGTCTAGATATAAGATTTATGTGTGAGAGATATATGCACACACACATCTAGAGAGAGTGCCTGCCAGGTTTGCATGTGTGCCATATGCATGGTAGCTGTGTATATGCACAGACTATCATGGAACAGTGTCATTTAAGAAACAAATCTAGAGATAAGCAATTAACCAAATCACTTAAGCATAGTCTCTCCTAGTCAGGCTCTGTTGCTTAGTAATATGAGAAAACACTTATTTTTACCCACCTGTGCTTAAAAAACCAGCAAACCCAGTACTTCTGGTCACTGTGGCAACTTCTCTGCTTGGTTCTCTGGTTTCTTCTTCTAGATTCTGCAAGTGGCCCTCAGTCAGATTTTCTCACGACTTCCCGGCGCGTCCCAGTCCTATCTTCTACTCCCATTGTTCCTTTTTTCTCTCTCTCCTCATGCACGTGCACTTAATCCTTGCCTTTACTGTTTAGATGGCTAGCCAATCTACGATCAGTAAATCACCGTTACAGACATGCAGGGGATTGGCAGCTAGCATCTTCTGCCAACTGCATAGGTCTTAAAAGATGCATGTTTGACGGGGAGGGGTCTTCTCTGACAACAGGACGGAAGTTAAGCATTACTTTGTATTTTCCCCCTAAATCTCCCAAGATTGATGGCGGGGCTCGTGGTGACTCGGGCACGTTACTGACCGCACAGACCATCACATCTGAGTCCGTGTCGACAACAACCACCACACACATCACCAAGGTAAAGCAAGCCAGGGGAATGTACATTGCCAACAAAATCTTTTCTGAATTGTTTCTTTGTTCCTCTTCACCCTTCAGATTTTTACACACAGTGCCCTGGAATAAACATGCATAGATTTAAAGTATGCAAGACATTGGGCTCCACTGACCTTTGTATTTAAACCAAACTGCAAATTTGTAAAGTACAAGGGGTAAAAATATGTTCAAAATAGCTATACCTGAGAGAGCTATAAGAGCAGAGGGAACTTAATAAAATAGAAGCATAGGTTTGCTAAGTACCAGTTAGCTCTCCTGGCTGAAGCAAATGAGTGGAGACCACCACAGGAAATTTTCACCGAGTTATTCAAATAATGTAAATTTCCCCCATTGATTTAAGGTTCTAGTATGTGGATTTGGGGCATTTTTTCCAGATCATTCTCTTAAGTGGTTAACATGTGATGACCAGTGATTGTTAGAATGTGGTCTCTGTACTGGCAGTAAGTCTCATCCAGGGGCTTGCTAGCGGTGTGAATACTGTGGCCCTGGTCCAGATGTTCTGAAACCCCAGGAGTGTTTAGGAAGCCCTCCAGGTGATTCCAGTGTATGCTGTGGTCATCACATTTCTAACCCAGCATTATTTTCCAGTAATGCCTGCTGCTTCTACTGGAGACTGAAGGTCCCAAATGTATCCCTTTTGCCCTCCTCACTCAGTATTTCAACAACAAAAAAAACTTTGTAAATTAAAAAAGTCCCAAAATGCATGATGGTGTTCATTTTAAAGTGTATCTAGCTATTAAAACCTAACAATCTCTATGGTCAGCCCCATGTCTTATATTGAGGTGTAATCACCCATGACTGTGTAAATTTATCAGAGCTGTAGAGGTTGGGTCTGTGCTTTCTCAGGACTGTGGTATTTACTCATGGTTTAGAGTGTCAGAGCCTATGATCGCTCAGCCTCTATCATGCCCGAGGCTCTGTCACCTTGCTCCAAGCCAGTGACTCTGTTCGGCAGCTTACTCAGAAGCTCCTGCTCCCGGGTCCCCTCCAGCCTTTGTTCAGACATGTTCTGTGTTCATGTCACAACCACATGCGGAATCAAATCAAACATTGGATGGAAGTCTTATCACCCTCACCCATCTTACATATCTGAAAGCAAATCCAAGTTCTGTTTCTGTTATTGCACTAAACCAATTGAACAAAATTGCCAGATGGATTTGTATGAAGCCAGTAGAACAGTCAGGGCTATAACATCAAGCAATTTTCCAAACCTAACTAAACCAGATGTCTAAATGATTAGGAGTCCCTGTAAATTCTACATAAACCAAACAACTATTTCTTCCCTGCTTGCTTCTTTTCAAAATAGTGGCCAATCGGAAATGAAGAAACTCAGGAAGTTGTAATGAAATGTTCCAGTGGAACTGTTTGGATTAAATGACATCTACTGCATCTTGATCTCACCTGAATTATGATAAGAGAGCTTTTAAGGTTGCTTTCAAATTGGATGATAGAATTCTACCTTGAGCTTATAGATAAAGAAGTTTCTAGAGCGTCAGTGTTCCCCACTCAGTGTCAGCTGCCTGATGGTTATCAGAAGGTCTCGGCGTGCTCCATTTGTGTTTTCTCTGGTTACGTGTAAGCGTGTTTTAGTGATTGCTAACCCCCCTCCCTTTTCCCTTGTGACCTCTAGACTGTAAAAGGCGGAATATCTGAAACAAGAATTGAGAAACGCATCGTGATCACAGGAGATGGAGACATTGATCATGACCAGGTAAAGATCGGAGTATCTGCTTCTGAGATTGATCATGCTCATTCCCTAAGTTTCTGTTGTGTCACATCCCTTCTCCCAGGACCTCCTGGATGAGTCCGCCTCCTAAGCTTGGCATAAGGACAGCTCACAGCCTAGACACACAGCCTGACTGTGCAGCCTTCCTAGCACTGAATTGCATAAAACATGGGCTGCTTTTTCATTTCCCACTAGCTTTACATGCACCTTTGGGTCTAAGCTATTAAAAAATTTTGGCAACCATCAGGCATTCATGTGGGCCTGATTTAATGGTAAGTCATCAGGTATCAGAAAATAAATGGCATTTTCATGACCTTGGCTTCAGAAAATAAGAAAAGCTGCTAAATTTGACTTATGCCTGTCTTTAGGAACTTATCAAGTATTTTTTAATAGCATTAGAAAAGTTGGACTATTTACCTCTAGGTGTTTTCCTCTAGTCATTACCATTATTGAGGGGTAGGAGAAGGTAGTATAAGGTCTCTTACAAAGTAAAAATTTACATGTATTCAGGAAAGATTTTTTTAAAGAATAATAGTTCTTTCGTTCTACTGTTGAGCAGAATGCATGCCTTTCAAAAGCAGGCAATGAATGAAACCACTGTTACTTGGAGAGTTGTTTTAATTTTAGACTGCAGTGCCAAGTGGTGATGAGAATTTTTTGTCTTGTTATAGTCTCAGTGATTTTTATCTCAACTTTAAAGGAGACCAAGCTTTTTTCCTTTTACAATAATTTGAGGAAAAGGAAATGATGAATTGGCCATCTCAGCTGAGAAGTAGGAACAAATGATAGTTAACCCAGCTTTGAACACTGTTGGACTTGGGAAAGAGAATTTTAGAGAACAATATTTCTTGTTTAAGAAGAGCTCACTGTATGTGGCCAAAGAGGAGTAGAATTTCTTCTATGCCTAGAAAGAAAATTATTATTTTTTTAAAAAAGATTACTGTATACATAATTTTACTTACGTATTTCATAATGTATTTTTTAAAAATTCCAAGAGAGTTCTTAGAGGTAAAGGGTTGCCCTGACTCTATTTTGACTTAGTAGTGGGGATTCCTAGTACATGACTGTACATGTGTCTCTTCACCACTAGGAAGTGAATCACCTCTTTGGAGACCAAGCCTCTGGTTTCCCATATAGAGGACTTATTCTACTTCTCTTCACTAGGACAGTGTTGAATTGCTCTGACCTTAAGTTTGAATAAACCCTATTCTTGGTCTGTTTCCCTCTGGGACTCCCACTCAGCCTTTGTTGAATGTGTGCTGGGCAGGAGCCGACATTCTTTGGCATGATGCAAGGTGGGAGTTGGCGCCTTCTGTCAGCCTTTGTTTCTCCTGCACTCTCTCTCCACTCAACTAGGCCCTTTCGGACTTTAAAATGCCATTTTTTCTCTTCAGGGATTACTCTCAGGTTTTATTTTATGTATGTTCCTTTGTCCTGTTTTACCTGAAAGCTAAAATCTCCGTGATACTGCTTCTACACAGCAGATATTAAAAACATAGGCTGAAATGTCAGTTCCAAAATAACACACGTTCCTAACTCTTGCGTTAAAAAAGAGTCATGATGGTGCGTCACAGCTTCAGGTGTTGTGTGAGGACACACACCTTGTGTGTATGATGTTCTGTTTTAGCCCATTTTAAAACTGGGAGGGAGGGGAGGATAGAGTAGGTTGGGATTAACACACACACACTGCTCTGTGTAAACAGATAAACAGCAAGGATCCGCTGTATATAGCATAGGGAACTATATTGTGTCTTATAATAACCAATAATGGAAAAGAATCTGAAAAAGAATGGATATGTATCACTTTCTGTACGTCTGAAATTAACCAGCTATATACTCCAGTTTAAAAAAAAACCCTAAAAATGAGGTCAGATATCCAAATGAAGAGAAATTTACCCTTTCCATAACTTGAATGAAAAAGTTAAAAGTTTTAAACTTTTTTGAGTAAACGTAACTGTGGCTTCTGGGGTGCTCATGGTGTATTTGCTTTCCCCATAAAGCCTGTGAATGAGACTGTGAACCAATTTAAAGTGAAGGAGGAAAATCACTTCCCTGGCAAAACCGAGGTTGATCATGCAGTGCCTTTCATGTCATTGGCACCTTTTTCAGTTCCTTGCCCACATCAGAAGAATTTTAATAGTGGAAGGAAATCCTTCATCTGAGCAAGATAGGAAAAAAAGGAATCTTTTTTTGTGTTAGCAAATGAAAGAGGCATGCTTCTATAGAAACTCGCTTTGCGAATTCTCTGCACCTGATGGCTCTCAGGTCTGAACCAGGGAGGGAGAAACAAGATGGCAGGGTGTTTCCTTTCTAATAAAATAACTTCTCAACTTGGCAGTGTGATGTGATAGCTTTCTCACAGTCTTGATTGTTGCTATAATACATTAACATTTTACAGTATGTATATGTACTGAGGTTATGGAAGGAAAGGAACTAAAGGATGACTGATTTCAAATGCATTTGAAGATGATAATAGCAGTTTTCCATTTTCCCTACTTTTCAGCTAATAAAAGTGTGTTTTGTGTATTCCACCTTCTCTTGGGTATCATGTATATTTCCTCTTTAACAAGTGCACTGGTTTAACCTAGGCAGATCTTTGTGAAAGAAAGTGAAAGTGCTGCTTGCTCAGGTGCATCCGACTCTTTGCGACCCCATGGACTGAGGCCCTCCAGGCTCCTCTGTCCATGGAATTCTCCTGGCAAGAACACTGGAATGGGTTGCCATTTCCTTCTCCAGGGGATCTTCCCGACCCAGGGATCAAACTTGGGTTTCCTGCATTGCAGGCAGATTCTTTACCATCTGAGCCACCAGGGAAGCCCAGGCAGACCTTTGTCACGAACATAAATTCAGAGTGTCTGAGAAGTTGGTTGTAGCCACATTGGCCCCCATCAGAGTTGGCCTTTCTCAGATGGGATTCTGCAGACCAGCCGGGGATAGGCCAAGTGTTGATTGTTGGGTCTCCACCTTCCCCCTGCACAGGCGCACAGACTTAGAGGCCGCCTGCTGTACCGGGTCTCCTTCCCCATGCACACTGCAGTCTTCACATGGCAGCACTTCCTGTCCTGCTCTGAGACCAGGTCCCCACTCCACTCCCGCCCTCCCGGCTGCCTGCTGTCCCCATGTGACAAAGCAGTTGTGCTGCGGCTCAAATGGAAGCCTGATCCCCTAAGTTATCACTTGTCCCAACACAGGTGAATCGCCAGAATTTGTTCCCCAGTAGGATCTGAAGCACCTTCAAGTGACTTCCAAGCTGAGTAAAAAACTTGCGGTATATAAAATAATCTTTTGTTAGCTTTATGTTTCTTTGTGGAAGGAGGCTCAGGGTTTTGCTCCCTAACCTTCCAGCTGACAGAAACAGTGTTACAAACAAGAAATGCAGTTGTCCTTGAAGTCAGGTGACAGAATCACAAGAAAATCCTGCTGCTTTTTTCAAAGGCCTGTTTTCCTGATGAGATACAACTCTCTCCTAGTAAGACTTCTTTTTCTTGTTTTCAGGGTCTNCTCATTGTGGCTTTGATTTGCATTTCTCTAATGATGAGTGATGTTGAGCATCTTTTCATGTGTTTGTTAGCCATCTGTATGTCTTCTTTGGAGAAATGTCTGTTTAGATCTTTGGCCCATTTTTTGATTGGGTCATTTATTTTTCTGGAATTGAGCTGCAGGAGTCAGTCTTTCGGTCTTAATCATCCCCAAGTTCACCTGCTCAGGTGACCTGCATTCAGTTAATTATAAACTCTGGGGATCAATGGGCATCATGTGGTGTTGATAACTGCCACATGTTGAGAGCTGCTGATAGTCAACATTTATGTGTTACTGTCCTATTTTTTAAGGTTAATATAAGTAACCTTATACTAAGGTTGTAACATTAGTATAAGTTATCTGAGTGTTCACAGTGACCCTCTGAGAAAGATGCTATTGCATTGTTAGATGAGGGTCTTTTATTGTAGGGGCCCAAGGGCAAGATGAGTTAAGTCTTTTAAATGTGCTCATTAAGAATAATTGTGTATCAGAGAAGGAACCATAAAGGGAAAGATTGCTTTGACTATACAAGTGTTTACAATTTGAGCCAAACCAACAAAAACAAAAGTAAAGGGTGAGTGATAAAGTTCAGTATGCTTGGCAGAGAAAGGAATGTAATGTCATTTATGTGTTATCAAAAAATATAAACACTTAAGTAAAAAAAGATAAGGCCTTTCCTTGTGGCTCAGCTGGTAAAGAATCTGCCTGCAATGCAGAGATCTGGGTTCGATCCCTGGGCTGGGAAGATCCCCTGGAGAAGGGAACGGCTACTCACTCCAGTATTCTGGCCTGGAGAATTCAATGGACTGTAGGCGTCGCAGAGAGTCGGACACGACTGAGTGACTTTCACTTCACTCATTTAAGTTTAAAAAAAGAGTAGAGGATTAAGCAGGTAAACCATGTAGAAACTTAAGCAAAAAGTGTTTGGCCTCATTATTGCCTAAATCAGTACAAATGAAAAATTCACTTCTAAATGTGGCAAAGTTTATATTAGCGAGAGTTAGGGAGGTTGTGGGAGGGAAACTATACTTATGCTGCTGTATAAATTAGTAATCTTTCCTGGAGGGCAAGTTAACAAAACCTTATATTAAACCTGCTTACCACTTGAACTACTGTGAGCAGTTTCTTAAATAATCAGAGATGTATACAAATATTTATCTTCAGGACTATGACATTTTTATATATGCTAGCAAGAAATGTGAAGCAATCTAAATGGCCCACAGTAGGGAGTGGTTATACATTGTGCTGCTTCCATGTGATGACAAAAATACATATTGCCGTTAAAGGCTGTGTTAAAGAATTCTTTAAAAAGGAGTAAGTGTTCCTAATTGTGGATGTATTAGGATTTTGAAAAGCCGGTTTTATTATACAGCACATATAACTAACATTGCATTTTTGTTTTTAAAGTGATCCATACGTTGATCAATTGAGAGAGAGGTCCCCACTGGAAGGGTGTGTCACAGACC